TCTTATGCAACATAGGCCCACCTGCCCAGGGGTGGCACCACCCACAGTGGGCTGGGCCCTCCCACATCACTCATCAAGAAGGTGCCCCTCAGACATAGCCACAGGCCAGTCCAATACAGGAAATTCCCCAATTGAGGCTCCCTCAACCCAGGTGTGTCAAGTTGACACGAAAGCTATCCAGCACACCCATGGAAGGGCACTGTTCATGTCAGTTACTGTTTGGCTTTTTTCCTCTGAGTCACAAACCCTCTAGATATCTGCCTTGCTATGCAGGCAGGACAGCAGACTCCTCATGTCTGAGAATTCATTTATGCAAAGAAACACACTAACAGGTGGAAATGTCCTGGGGTACGTAAGAGGAGCAAGGGTGGACATGGGCATGTACAGACTTCTATAATCTCAGCACTTGGTAGGCGGAGACAGGAGGATCACCATGGGTCCCAGTGAATTCCAGGCCAGGCTGGGCTACAAAATGGGATCATATCTAAAAAAAAAAGTTAGGAAAAAACAAAGAAAGAAGAAGAAGCCAGGTGTAGTGGAGCACACCTTTAATCCCAGTACTCTGGAGGCAGAGGCAGGCAGATCTCTGTGAGATTGAAGTTAGCCTGGTCTACATAGTGAGTACCAGGGCATCTGAGGCTACAGGGAGACCATATTTTAAAAAAGAGAGCGGGAAGACAGTGGTAATTTAGGGTGGAACACTAAGGGTCTTCTCCATGGTCTCTGCCAGAATCTAACAATAACATAGGGACTAAAACCATAGCTTCTGGGATGAAGATGTAGCTCATTTAATGGTGCCTACTCAGCCTGAGTGAGGGAACTATACTCTTCAAACAATATCTTTCCTATATACATAGGCTGTAATGAACATTGCTCAAAACCTCTCTCAGATTTCTCTTATTCTTAGGACCTAAATGCAATCAGATTTTCTGATAATGTAAAATCCTACAACTTTTAAATTTCAAAATTTCTATTTATTTATCTATTTATTGCAAACAAGACAATTCTCCCCTGAGCTTGTCTCCTTATAATACCTAATTAAATACAGCCAAATGCAACCCATAGGTGCTGCTGACTTTCTACCTTATAGCCTCCTCCCTGGAGTTCAGGCAATCAGTAGTTTGAATTTTACCTCTCAACTAGCTGAAGACAAACAGTTTCAATATCTGCCTTGCCACTCAAAGTTAGTTCTCCTAAGCATGGTGGTACACACCTTCAATCCCGGAACTAGGGAAGCGGTAAAAATATTTTTATCTTTTGAGTGTTTTGCTTGCATGTATATATCATGTGAGTACAATGCCCACAAAGGCCGGAAGAGGGCTTTGAATCCCCTGGAACTGGAATTAGAAATGGTTGTTAGTCACCTGTGTGGGTGCTAGGAACTGAACCCGGGTCTTCTGCAAGAGCAGCCACTGCTCTTAACCACTGAAACACCTCTCTAGCCCCACCAAGGGGTTACCAGTCAAGGTTCTCTGGAGGAACAGAACCAATAGAATGAATACCTATCAAAAGGAGACTAGACTGGCTTACATGATATGGTCTGGGTAGTTTAACAACAGGTCTTCACACTGAAGAGGCTAAGAACCAGATCTGCTCACTTCATAGGGCTGAATGCTTCAGCAGTCCTAACCTGGTGCAGAAGGCCTGGAGGATTCCTGGAGAAGTACCAGTCATTAATTCAAGATGGAAGGCTGAAGAAAACTGGGTTCTAGTATCAGGGACCAATAAGAGTAACAGGATAAATGAACTTGTAAATAGAGTAGATGTACTTGCCTGCAAGATGGGAAGGCAAGCAAAACAGATCAAATGCTTATCAAATGCTTTTCCATGGATTTCTTTATATTTGGGCTGCTGGAGGAAGAGGCTGTCCACATTTGGGGTGGGTCTTCCCATTTCAAAAAATGTAATAACAAAACCCCACACAGGTGTGCCCCAAGGCTTGTCTCCTTGTTGATTCCAGAACCAGTCAAATTGACAACAAGGATTAACTATCACTCGGGGCTCCTCAGTGAACCTAGAGCTTGCCATTTTGGTTAGACTAGTTGATCACCGAACCTGGGATCCTCCAGCCTCCCCACCCTCTGCCCAGCACTGGGGTTACTCATGTGTGCCAGCTTTTTAAAAAGGATTAATTTTTATTTTTGTATATGAGTGTTTTGTCTGATGTATGCACGCAGTACCCTTGGAGGCCAGAAGAGGGTGTTAGATCCCCTGGAACTGAGTTGTAGATGGTTGTGGGCCACTGATGTGAGTTCTGGGATCCAGAGCCAGGTCTTCTGCAAGATCAGCAAATGCTCTTAACCGCTGAGTCATCTCTCAAGCCCCATGTGCTGGCTTTATACTTTACATGGGTGCTGAGAATCCAAATTCAAGTCCTCAATCTTACAGAGCAAGAACTTTATCACAGAGCCATCTCCCCAGCCCTATAGATTTCCTTTAAATTTTGAGACTATTATCTACATGGCAATGTATAATACATATTTGCGTTTCCATCATTCATATTTTATTACATTTTATTTACTTTAGTGTATGTGTATGTGTGCATGTATGTGTGTATGGAGGCCAGAGGACAGAGTGAGGAAAAACTGGACTGAAACAGGAAATCACAGCAGAGACCATTGGGATTTTGGAGTAAGGCTCTACCTTCATCTGCGGACAACTGTTCTCCTTTTGAGAGACACCTTTTAGCCTACTATTGGGCGTTAGTGGAAACCAAATTTTTGACAATGGACCATCAAGTCACCAAGCAACCTGAGCTTCCCATCATGAGCTGGGTGTTATCTGACCTACCAAGCCATAAAGTAGGACGTGTACAGCAACAATCCATTATCAAATGATCAGGCTGAGCAGGCCCCCTGAGGGCATTGCATGACACGGGTGCACTTACATAAATGCAGGCAATACGCTCATGCACATAAAATATAAATAAAATAAAAAAGAAACATTAAATATTAGTCTTTTCTTTCAAACCCTTTAAAACCTGGTTTATGACAAGGAATTCTGATCTTTTAATCCCACCACACTCTGTGAGACTTTTAAGGAAAGGCCTTCATGCATTCTCAAACCTGATGACCTGGGGCTGTGGAGGTCTTCCTCCTCTCTTGATGCCCATTCTTTTAAACTAGTCAACCCAGAAAGACTGTGAGGTTGGATCTGAGTCACTGAGGAAAAGACTTAGTCCTCTTGTGTTAGGAATAAAAGCGTACCAAGTTTCTGGGTCCTGTTTGTGCTTGCTGGATCTGACTGACCACACCCTTTTGCAAAGTAAACTCTGCTTTGCCAAGTTACTTTCACTTTGAGTGCTCTTTGTATGTAACTGATGGGGATTTTGGACCTCTGATTTTATTTCTAACAGTGGAAAGAGAAACCGACTCCACGAAATTGTTCTCTGATCTCCACATGCCCCAAGGCATGTAAGTATCCCTCCCCCAATAATAAATTTAAAATGTTTAATCTCAGTACCTGTCAGAGAAATGCAATCAAAACATTTAGATTCCACTGTACTCCAGTTGGAATGTCACTGGCTGCTCTTGCAGAGAGGACTTGGGTTCAGTTCCCAGCACCACATAGCAACTCACAACCATCTGTAACTCCAGTTCAGAGGATCAGATGGCCTCTTCAGGCCTCCACAGGCACTTCATGCACTGCATGTATACTTACATACATGCAGGCAAAACATACACATAAAAGTTTTAAAAAAGAAAACAATGCTGGCATCAATGTGAACAAAAGGAAACGCTTATACGTGGCTGGTGGGAATGAAGCCAATCCAACATTTAGGGAAATCAATATGGAGGCTTCTCTAAAAACAAAACAAAACAAAACACCAACCTACAAACATCTTCTACATGACCCAGCTACACTATTCCTGGGTATTTACCCAGAAGACTCCAAGTCAACCTGTCACAGAGATCCTTGCACATCACTGTTGCAGTACTAATCACAATAGCTAAATTGTGGAAGCAACCTAGATCTTCAACACAGAGGAATATACACAGTGGAATGTTTTTCAGCCTTAAAGAATGAAGTTATGTCATTTGCAGGAAAATGGACACAACTGTTGATAACCATATCAAATGAATGAAAGCTGTCCCAGAGAGACAAATATCTATGCTTTCTCTCTTCTGTGGGCCCTACATTTTATAGTCCCATAAAATCATGTACGTATATGTTAAATAAAGTGAAATTAATTAGGGGACAAAAGGGAACTGATGGGAGACGGAGGGGCCAGAAAAAGGAGGGTGGGGGGGTTGGGGTGCTTGTAAATAGGCTCGATATGTAACTATATAACTGTAAGAACAATTTTTTAATAAAAAAATTCATTATCACCTTCCATGGGTGCATTCACACATGTAGACTTAAGCTGTTTATTCCCATTTTTCAGAGCCAAAAGGAAAATAAAAGTCAAGGCATTCGGCATTAAACTTTAACGCAAAAGTTTTCTTAGTTTCAATGGCTAAGACTGAAAATGAGAAGGGCTAAGCAGTTTACCATTGGTTTTCAAAGGGCCAGGCCCCTCCCCCCGCACTCTGCTATCTGAAGTTCAGGTTTTGTCTCAGACCTTTTCCAAACCTCGGTAGATACAGAGGAAGAAAATGAAGGAGCCCATTACAGCAGAGGAGAGCAGAGACCACTGCAGATCCCGATAAAGATCCCTTTGCATCAGCAGCGTGTTGTTCAAATCATTCTGTCCTCTTTCTTCCTATTAGAATTTTTGGTCTTGTAAGTGGTGACTGCAAGTGGAGATGCCAGGATCTGCTTCTGAGTTGTTTGGGGTAAAGCGGCTTCCCGTGCCCTGCGGTAAGTAAAGGGGGAAATGACCAACTGCTAACTCCTCCTCCTGAAGCCCCTGCCCGGATCCGAGCGCTCAGCGGGCAAAGAACTTTCTACACCCTCGCAGAATTCCCACCCTGGACGCCCCTACAGCCTTCTCCACCTCCCCGAGCAGCCGCTGGAGACGTCACTTCCGCCGGAAGAAGGAGCACGTCCTCGCGGTTGGCGCGAAAGTCAGTTCCTGTTTTCAGCCGCTTCCGGGAACTGCGGCCTTAGCTTGGACTGGGGGCGCCGCCGAGGGTGGGGGCTGCGAGCCGGGCCAGTGCCCGACCCCAGCCGCCGTCCTGCGGTCCGTGCGCCCTCCCGACTTGGTGCTCGGGAGTCCTCCGGCTCCAGTGAGGTGAGGGAGCCCCCGCTTGCTACCTGCCCTGCCGGATTGAGGAGTGGCCTGCGATGGCAGGCCAGAGTAACCGGGGGCTGGACCTGAGCCTCGGCCTCCCGGGAAGCCTTGGCCTCCCGGGAAGCCTCGGCAAGAGTGCCCCGAGGCCTAGGCCTTGTCCTGGGAGCAGACGTGCGCGGGCCTTTCGGCCGGGCGCGCACCGCCTAGCACAGTCCCTACTAAGTTTTAAAGGCTGCCGACCGGAGGATGAACCCCTTTGGCGGGTCAGCAGCCACAGATGCCATCTCTGTGCCTTTGAGCCCAGTGCAATTGAATGTCCATTGGCCTAGGCCCAGGCCCAGGGCCTCGGTGTAGTCCATTCAGGGACGTTAATTTCGTTCTCAAGATTTGCAAGGATTCGTGTGGCTATCTTTTTTTAAAAAATATTTTATTATTTTATGTGTATGCGTGTATTGCTTGTATGTAGGTAAGTGCACCCATGTTGTGCAATGTCCGCGGAGGACAGAGAGGCTGTCGGATCCCCTGGAACTGAAGTTAGGACAGTTGTTAGCTGCCATGTGGGTGCTGGGATTCGAACCCCGGTCTTCTCCAAGAACAGTTAGTATTCTTAACCGCTGAACCAGCCCCTCGTGTTGCTATCTTTTTTTCTTTTGCCCACATTCCAGGGTTTCTTGCAAACCTCATAAGTGAATTCATGGGCCAAACCATTCTTTAGGCGATCTTGTCTGTGCAAGAGAATAGTTGCTTTGAATCTTTTAATTCCCTACATAGTTTTTTTGTTGTTCTTATTGATTGCTTTATTTTCACAGTTCAAAAATGTCCAGAAATGACCAAGAACCGTTTTTTGTGAAGTTTTTAAAGTCTTCAGATAATTCTGAGTGCTTTTTGAAAGCTCTTGAGGTAAGAATAACTTGAACATGTTTTGTGTTTTAGAAATGAATATTTTTATGGACTGTTACTGCAGTCTCTACTAATGCAGATATCTCATTGTAACATAATTTTGGAATTAATGCAAGTATACCGTTATATATTTGGGGGGGATCGAAATTATTATGACAGTTGATTGTGGCTGAACTGCTAGTCTTCCTGTGTGTGTGTGTGTGTATGTTCTTGTGTAGAGGCCAGAGGCCCCTTTGGGTGACTTGTGTCACCCTCCCTCCACTTTTTTCACATCTGGGAACTGTACTGAACACAGCTCGGAGCCAGCCCTGGTGAGCTGCAGCACTCTGCCCACCAGCCTGGCTGCCCAGGTCTGGGTGGGGGTTGACCCCATCCAGGGAGTTTGAGCAACCATAACTCTAAAAGGCAACAATTCTACTAATGATTACTTTATAACCGGGAAACAGGGCTGCTCCACAGACGCATTGAAAAGGCCAAATACTTTCTGGTGAAGAGACACATGGCAACTCTAATTCATCCTTATACACAGCACTCTAGGGTGATGGGCAGTATCCTCATGTTCAGGGGCAGGATGGGAGATGAGTAGGTCCAGATGTCCATGGCTCTCAGGGCAGCTGGGACCAGGTGGGTGCAACAGACAATGGGCACTAGGATACTGCATATACAAGATCAACTACTGGGCTTTGCGGGGGTCAGCTGCCTATACAAGTAGGTCATACTGTTCCTTCTAAAAAGAGAAGGGGTGGTATTTATTTATACTGTGTTCTGTGGCTGGTGGACTTGGTAAAGGACTACTCTGTGCAGAGGATGAAGGCAACAGTGAAACCTTAGAGGCCAAGCACCTCCCCAAAAATGAGGATCAGGATCATGCCCAATTGATCAGACTTAAATACAGGGAACTGATTTGTATTACATTCTTTTTTTTTTTTTTTCCAGTCAATAAAGGAATTTCAATCGGAAGAATATCTTCAGATTATTACAGAAGAAGAAGCATTGACGATAAAGGAGAATGATAGATCACTTTATATCTGTGACTCTTTTAGTGGTGCTGTTTTTGATCACCTTAATCAGGTTTGTGTGTGTTGAAATCTTCATTTGGTAGTGTGTTTTTCTTCTCTCTTTTTAATTTGATTTATTTATTATCTTGTGCTGTGGATCGAACCCAGGCATAAATTCTTTACTGGTCATGAAGTACTATGCACATTATGAGTACATTGGGATTCTTTGGACCTAGGGTTCTTATACTTTCAAGCAGCATGATTGACTGATGGTTCATTTAAAAGCATACTTGAATGTTTCATAGTTATTATAGCTCAAGATTTCATAAAGATTGTTTGTTGGGACTGGAGAGATGGCCTGGCAGTTTAGAGCATGTACTGCTCTTGCAAAGGACCTGGGTTCAGTTCAGTTCCCAGCACATATATGATATGGCTTACAAGTACCTGTAACTCCAGCTCCAGGGGAGCTGATATTTTTGGCCTTCATGGGCACTGTCATTCACATGCCCATACCTGTACACAGACATACACATAGCTAAAAAAATTCAGAATAGAATTTTAAAAAGATTCATTATAGAGATTGTAATTTGGATGGCAGTTATGAAGTTGCTTTCTTTTGATAGTTTATGTTTGCTTTTGTGTGTGCATGTTTATTCAATTTTTAGTGTGTCTGAGAAATTATCTGATAGTCTTTTTTTTCTTCTAACAATTTGGTGATTTCCTGCAGCAGTTATCAATGTGCGCAAGTAATTGGTAAATATTACCAAATGTAATTTTATGAGTTTGGTGATCTTTTCCTTCTTAACTTTTTATAGCTTGGCTGCAGAATTGTTGGTCCTCAAGTCGTCACATTTTGTATACACCACCAGCAATGTGTCCCAAGAGCTGAACATCCAGTTTACAATATGATTATGTCTGACGTAACTGTCTCCTGTACAAACCTGGATAAAGAAGAAAGGGTAAATACTGAGAGGAGGATCACTGTCTCCACACTTAATTTTTTACTGGGTAGGAGGTAATGCAAAAATCCTTGCACACAGAAATCATTACTTAGCAAAGTTCAGGGTTTGACATCTATTATGTCTTTAAAAGAATAATAAATTAAGCTGGGCATGGTGGCACACGCCTTTAATCCCAGCACTTGGGAGGCAGAGGCAAAGGCAGGTCTGGCCAACCTGGTCTACATAGTGAGTTCCAGGACAGCTGGGGCTACAGGGAGACCCTGTCTCAAAAACACTTAAAAAAAAAAACAAAAACCAAGAATAATAAATTGAGGCAGACCTTCCAGACCAGCCACAGTCATGTAGTTCACTGTGAGTCTGTCTGCTTTCCCGAACTCTTCAGGAAGGTATAATTTCTCCTTTTCTTTCTTACTAAACATGCTTTTTTTAAGGCTTTGGGCTGCCCCTAGCAACTTGTAATTCTTCCTTTTTTCTCTAAATTTTCCTTCTCCCAGCCGTGTGGCTGTGAGTCAGCTACCTCCACGCAGGCTCTAAACCTGCATTGCTTCCCACCATTCACCTCCTCAAGACAGCTGACCAGCTCGCCTACCCTGAGGGTTTTTCTTTAAGATTCTAAATTGTAAAAGCTTCTGTTTTGGTCCATTCTTAAATTCCTTTATGAATGAGGCTTAAGAACTCTCTAGGGGACCCTCTTTCTCCTCGTTTCATATTGGCGACCATGAAGGGATCCCCAAAATTCTAATAACATTTATTTGGTGGTCATGCAGAGATTTTCAAGCATAGGCTGAATTTGCAGGTGAACTTCCTTATCCATTTTGCTATCTTGCCTTGGGGCATTTAGGTACAGGCTGAAGCAGAGCATTTAAGGTAGCTTGCTTCATGGACAAATGGAAAAAAAGATTTTTAAAAGCTATTTTTTTTCCCTAAACTTTTTCTCAGGCAGAGGGACTTGAAATTTTGATCTCAGGCCCTGTTGGGCAGCAGGCAAGCTGTGCTCAGACCATGTGGTCCTATGCTGGCTGCTTTTCTAACTAGATCTAAGCATTTTAAATTTCAGTGTACATGGAAAGTCATGGGCTGTGCTCAATCAAGACATATGCTTTCAGAGCAACAACCCAGTGATTTATGTGCTGGACATAGCGCCCTGTTCCTTCTGCCTTCACGAGTTTCCTTTCCAGCATAGCTTGTATCTAGGAATAAAGACATCCCGAGAACTCTGCTTGGCATTTACAGCTACAATGGTTGTTTGTAGGTAGGCGTGATAAAGCACAGGGTGTATTCCTGTTTTAAAGAAGCAGCATTATGAAACAGAGAAGACAGTGAAAGAGTTACAAGTCTCAGGAGAGACAGGCTTAGAATTTCAGGGCAGAAAGAACTGGCATTTCCTCACTAGAAAAACCAAATCAGGCCCTCTCTGGATGCCAACACAACTGATAAAGCTGTACTTTGAGGTGGCACAAAAGACAACAACCTGGCAACAGACATAGGGCCTCATCCTGAATCTCAGGCTTGTTGGTTTCCCTTCTCCCAGTGCTATCCTGCCTGTGCCACCTTTTCTGGAGAACCTACGCATGCAGCTTCTGCAGCACACTTTCCCCTCACCCATCCTACTAACAGCGACCACTGTGATTGACATGCTTCTTTTGTAAGACAGATAAGAGGGAGCTATGGGAATGACTCCGGAGAATGCCTTCAGTTACAAATAGGAATCTTATGTAACCTTGTGACTAAAGTTAATCTTACGTTTTGAGATCATGCTCATACTATTTTAAGCAAAGCCAAGGGTCCACTTGTCTTTGTTCAAGCACCATGGTGTGGTGGCATCTCTCTGTCATAATCTACAAAAATTCCCAGAAAACATTTAAAAATAATTACTTTTCAAAGGTAAAAATAATAATAATTTGAATACAGTAGAATCCATTTTGTAGAGATTTGGTTAACTGAAGAAATTAGCTTTTTTTTCTAAAGTCAGTAAGCTTGTTTTTTTTTATCAGGTCTCCATGTGTGGATAATCTTTCAAAAAAAGAATTCTAAAAGTAAGCCAGCCTAGCTGTGCATGGTGGCTCATACCTATAATCCCAGGTCTCAGGAACCAAAGGCATACTAGCCACTTTGAGTTTGAAGCCAGCCTGTCTCAAAAAACCAAGAGAGAGCCAGAGCCAGAGCCAGAGCCAGAGCCAGAGCCAGAGCGAGCGAGCGAGCGAGCGAGAGAGAGAGAGAGAGAGAAAGAGAGAAAAAAAAAAACCTGAGCAGCCACTGGGACCCAACTGGGCAGACAGTCCAGACAGTCCACTGCAGCCCTTGGCACTTGTGTCGACCTCCACCCCGCTTACCAGACCTCTCTCCCTGGCCTGACTTTTGTTGTCACGTCCTTGCATATCACTTAAGGCTCCCTGGGTTCCAGTTCTTTATTCTGTAAAGAATATTAAGGCTGGGCCTGGAGAGATGGCTCAGTGGTTAAGAGCACTGACTGCTTTTGCAGAGGACCCAGGTTCGATCCCAGCACCCACATGGCGGCTTTGAACCATCCTTAACTCCAGTTCCAGGAGAATCCGAAGCCCTCTTCTGACCGTGGCATTGCAGGACATGGGTGCACTCACATACATGCCGGCAATACACTCATACACATAAAAAAAAAAAAAAAGATAAATATTTTTAAAAAAGAATTACTAAGGCTTTACATGGAGGGAGTCAGATGTCTAGGGTGCCTTGAGTCTGCCCCCCACAAGTTTACAAGTCAGATGGAGATACAGTCACTTTCTGCAGGGTGTTGAGAGGGTGATAAATCCTTCACATTGATAAATCCTTTATGTAATTCACTCTATTAATGAAGAGGTTGGCTTTTTTGTTTTTCTTTTATTTTGTAATATGGTAGCATTTGCCCGTTTTTGTAAGTAATGTATAAAGAAAGGTACCCCAAGGCCAGGGAAGTAGCTCAGTTGGTACAGTGCTTCCCCAGCATACGTGAGGCTCGGTTTGATCCCCAGCACTGCATAAACTGGGCATGGTGGTGGATGCTAGTAATCCTAGCACTCTTAGCACTTAGAAAATGGAGGCAGGGAGGTTAAAAGGAAGTTCAGGATCATCCTCTGTTACGTAGGGAGTTTGAGTCTAGGCTGAGCTAGGGTCCTTGTCTACAATAAAAAAGCAGGTATCTCTCATTGTTAAAATATAATACATACCAGAGAACTGAAATCCTTTCGGATCTATGCTTTATATTGGGTCATTATAAATTTTAGCAGAGTTTGAAGAGTTGGAGGTACAATTAAATTACACATTGTTTATAGTGAAATCTTGCAATTACGGTTTAAATTGTTTTGTTTTGAAATGAGGCCTTGCTGTGTTGCCCCAGCCAGGCCTTAAACTCCTGGCTCAAATGATCCTTCTATCTCAGATGACCCTTATTAGTCTTGCTGAACTACCCCATGCATCTTATGTACCATCTGCAAAGATTACTTGATAGATGCAACTACCCTTACAGAGTGTCTTCATAAAACCTTTTGTAAAGGCTGCATTGTCAGACATTTTTACAACAGCAACAGGTGCCCAAAGTACAACATAGTAGTGGTGCACCACAGTATCTTTATAACAAAAGGTTGGACCAACAATTACAAGACATAGTGTACAAATTACTTATTTAGAGGAAAGAGAAAAAAACAAATGCATGATTTCTATGAAGAGGTCTGTCTGCAGCATTGCATGACACAGGTGCACTCACATGCAAGCGATATACTCATACACATAAAATAAAAATAATAAAATACTGGGAAAAAAAAAAAGATCTAGAGGTACCTCAACCTGTTGCTCCATAATCAGTCCCTTTGAGTCAAGGAAGTTCTAGAGTCAGTGTTTTATACTCCTCCTGAACTTGTTAAGTCTTTATTACTGGTGCTAATGAAGACACAGGACATTTTAAGTCATTGGAAAAAAAAAAATTGTCCAAGTTTCAGGAGAAGCAGCCATTGGACATGTAGAAAAATTTCTTATAAGAAAAATGGGTCTTGATTGAGTTTGTCAGGTAGATGTCATCTGTGGGTGCTTCCTTGTTGAAACAGTACTAAACTCTATGGGAAGCCCGACATGCAGTAGGTGTTGTAGATGCAGAATGGTCTGCTTGTCCTTCAATATGGTCTTGTGGTTTCTCTGAAAATAACTTGAAGATGCTAGGGCATCTGAGGAGGCTTCTGCAGATGTCTCTATCTCACCAAAGATTCCCACAGAACATGCAGTCACCAATACTTTGTGCTGTTCAAGAGCTGATGTCTGTTTTTAGAACCAGGAATCCTAGCATTTGTAGGTACAACTTGAAGCAATGGAATGTATCTATTTCATGAAAGACTATATGTAAAAAGCACTCAGAACTCGGGGCGGGGGGGAATTGAAAGGTTGGATTTTAAAATTCCTTGTGATTCCAAATATGTTGAAGTTGGTTGCTGCTTCCCATCTCTGAGGTGAATCAGTCACTGTTTTTTCCTTGTTGAGCCATATCTCTTTTATGTTGGTGGCTGGGTTCTCTTCAGGGTGCTTCAGGTGGGCAGTTGTCCTTTCAGAAAAAGAACTTTGCTCTTGAAGGGTAGTCAAAGCTGTCTGTTATTGCAAGGTGTGCTTTCAGAACCAACCCTATTGGTCACTTGGTAATATTGATATTTTGAACTTTTTTTTTTTATTTTATTATTTTTATGTGTATGAGTGTTATGCCTGCATGTAGGTAAGTGCACCCATGTCGTGCAGTGCCCACGGAGGACAGAAGATGCTGTCGGATCCTCTGGAACTGGGGTTATGGAGAGTTGTTAGCTGCCATGTGGGTGCTGAGATTCAAACCCAGGTCTTCTGCAAGAACAGTCAATGTTCTTAACTGCTGAGCCGTCCCTCCAGCCCCTATATTTTGAACTTTTAAATTAAAAAATTTTTTAATTTTATGTATATGAGTGTATCACCTGTATGTATGTAAGTGCACTTGTGTTGTACAATGCCCACAGAGGTCAGAAGAGGGCATTGGATCCTCTGGAACTGGAGTTTCAGGTGGTTGTTAGTTGCCATATGGGTGCTGGGACTCAAACCCAGGTCTTTTGCAAGAGCCATCTCTCCAGCCCCTTGAGCTTCCTTTTAATACCCATAATTCTTTTTTAGTGCCCGTAATACTACTAAAGCAATGTTAATCAATTTTAATATGGATGAATTACATTATTTTGTGGAGAGAATATCTCCTGTAGGGTTTATAGTTCATCTTACTATATTTTAAAATAAAAGGTGCTTATCTGTGATGATTTATGTTGTTTTGCATGTATATTGCTGATAAAACAGTATTGCAAGATTCCCACAATAGGGTTATTGATACTTGGTAAGGTAGGTAACTGCTTCTAAAGGTAACATAACAGACAGTTTCAGGTGAATTACCAGAAGTTTACAGGGTACTTATTGTTTCCTTAGTAAATCAGCTTTAATGTTCATTTTTTTGTTGTCCATGGTATTAAAAGAGTCTTTTGAGAATTTTGCTTTCATGCAGACCTCATTTTTATACAATATTTTATCTAAAATTAGCATCCTGATGCTTTCTAAAATATTTTGTAGATTCTTTCAGAGCAAAATTTCCAAGTCTGTGTAGAAACCTAGAAAATTGGACAGATTGGCCATTGTTTTGTGAAGAGGTTATGAATTGTGCATACATTTCTTAAAACATTTAGTAAAAACTTTAGCCAAAGAAAATACAAATCAAGAGAGTTACATATAAGCATACTTATATATTACATACAGCATTTTAAAATGTATATATAGCATATAATACCTAAGCATAGAAGCAACTTAGTTTTAATTATGGAGTTTAAAAGAATAAATACAGCTGGATATGGTGGTGCAGGCTTTTAATCCCAGCACTCAGGAGGCAGAGGTAGGTGGATCTCTGTAAGATTGATGCCAGCCTGGTTCTAGACCAGCTGGGGCTACACGGAGACACTGTCTCAAGAAAAAGAAAGAAAGAAAGAAAAAAAAAGTCACTGGTCGATACTGGCGGTTCTCTCTGAGAAATATTTCTCTAGGTGACTTATCATTGAGTGTACTGAGATGGCTATGATGTCATTAGCAATATTTCAAGACCACACTGTTACACATGTCAATTGAAATATTGTTAAGCAGAGGCTGGAGAGATGGTTCAGCAGTTAAGCGTGCTGACTGCTTTTATAGAGGACCTGGGTTTGATTCCCAGCACCCGCATGGTGGTTAACAATCGTATATAGCTCCAGTTCCCAGGGGATCTGATGTCTTCTTCTGACCGGGTATTACATGACATGGGTGCACTTACACACATGCAGGCAATACACTCATACATAAAATAAAAATAATTTAAAAAATTAAATATTGTTAAGCAGTATGTAACAGTTAAGAAAATAGCTTACTTTTACTCTCTAGGGGCCTTGTGCATGAATGGCAAGCATTCTACTACTGAGCAAATCCCCAGCTTGAAAATAGTTATTTTTAAGCATACAATTCATGCTCATCTTCCAAAAAGTAATTTAGTTAATTTTATAATGGTGGAAAATATTTGTATATTCAAGCTAGCAGCTGTAAAAGGTATGGGATATTGTATAAAAGTAGAAGAGAAGAAATAACTTTTTTCTCTAGTACTAATATATTTTCTTTTGGGGCTATAGGAAGAAGTTCATAAATATGTACAAATGATGGGTGGACGTGTGTACAGAGACCTTAATTTATCAGTAACTCACCTTATTGCAGGAGAAGTTGGTAGCAAAAAATACTTAGTTGCTGCTAATCTGAAGAAACCTATTTTGCTTCCTTCTTGGATAAAAACACTTTGGGAGAAGTCACAAGAGAAGTAAGTCCTTTGTATACTTGAGAAAATGATTCACGCAGTTATGTTGGCATACTCTGCATCTCCATGGGGAAACTTATGATAGCATACCTGGTTCATTACTGAGAGACAAAAGTGGGGTCATTATTCCTTTGTCCAATGAAAATAGAAGAGCAGAGTCCTTAAGTGCTTACTACCACAGAGTGTAAGCTGTCAGGGAAATGGGCTGTGGATTTAGCACTAGCTAGATGGTAAATACCGTGAAAATGGCTTTCAGCAGCAAATGCTTCGAAAATAATTGAGAAACTCAGTTTGGCTCTTATGCTGTGCGACTCTTCAATACTATGTCCAGATGTTTAAGATGGAGAATAAGCCACTTTGGCAGCTGTAGTCCCTCCCAAGGATAGCATGACATAAGGTCAAATACGAACCACGTCAGCCATCAGTGAGGTGTGACTACTCAGTGTAATCTGAGCCTATTTTATGAATCTGACTTCAGCCAGGCATTAGATCTATGATCAGACTAGGATAACATTCCTTCCATTGTGGAATTTAGAGGTATGCTTATGTTCCCCCCAAAAGTAGGTTTATAATCCTAAGTCCAGACATACAAATTGCACCAGCACTTTTCTGTCCTTGATTCAGTACCTTTCAGCACATGCTTAACCATGCCTCCTGGTTGGCACCTGCATTCCTAGCCTGACTTCTTCAGCACCTGGCAACAAAATGGCAAGGATACTTTTATTGGTCTTCTGCCAGAAATCATTGCTTTTAACTATGATAATGGAAATATTATTGAAAAGTCCATTTTATATAAGAAAGCAACCAAAGAACCTTGGGTTTTTAAGTAGATTAAGGGTTGTAACACCCTTAACAATTGCTCCATTTTGACTAGCAAGGACTTAGAGTTAATGAAATACTTTGCTGTAAGACAGATTTACTTGAAAGACTATAGCTGAAACAACATTTTTATTAAAGACATAGTATTGAGCAAGATGAGCAGTTAACTGTAGTTCTCACTGTCAGTTTGCCTTAGGGGTTTGATTATAATCCCTAAAGAAAACAAGGGCAGCAATTGTGATGGTTCTGTTACTTGCTTCTGGTGAATTTGAAACTACCTAATATATTTAATATGTTCATTTTCCCCTTTTTGCAATTTATTTTCTCCAGCAAAATAACTAAATATACAGACGTGAACATAGAAGACTTCAAGTGTCCTGTATTTCTTGGCTGCATTATTTGTGTGACTGGCTTAAATAGCATAAACAGAAAGACAGTTCAGCAACTCACAACTAAGCATGGAGGTCAATACATGGGACAGCTGAAAATGAATGAATGCACACACCTCATTGTGCAAGAAACAAAGGGTAAAACTGCTTTATAAGTGATCAAAAGCAAACTTTCTCTGCAGTATAACACTTTAAAATCTTTGTAGACTGCCTTTTGCCTCTGTTGTGTCATCACCCGGGTTTATCTGTTTATTCTCTTACCCCTAAAGTATTGCAAGGATAGTTTGGGTCAGAGTCTAGAAAAAGTATATAGCCATCCTAGTGTTTATCCAGGTTATAGGAAATGTTCAAAACCTTTTTAAGTGATGGCACATCTTACCTTACTTTTAGACTTTGATTAAAAACTACTCCCCACATTTACCAAACAATAGAAGTTGGGGAGTAATTCTGCCTCATAACCTGAAAGGGGCATACCTTGAACTTAAAAATTCTAGTTCATAGAGCCTCAGCGGTAGCCTCAGCTAGCCTGGCATTCTCTATGTAGACCACACTAGCCTTGATTGCACAGAGATCCCCCTGCTTCTGCCTCCTGAGTACTGGGACTAAAGGTTTGCACCACCATGCCCAGCTTTTTTTTTTCATCTTCATCCCAGCCCTTGTGAGTATTCCACAGACACTTAGGTTTCATGTAGAAATCTTCTCAAATTACAGTAGCTTCACAGTCCTCCATTCTTCTAGACGCACTTTCCCCAGCCATATTTTACCCTTGACAAAGACAGGGCAGGAATGAGCATGCCTGTTTGCAGTCTGGCTGAGATCACAGAACTGGGTTGGAGGGGGGTAAGATTGTTCGTGTAAGAACTTTTTTAATGTTTATTTTTTAAAATTAAAAAAAATATTTTATTATTTTTATTTTATGTGTATGCATGTATTGCCTGCATGTAGGTAAGTGCACCCATTTCTTGCAATGTCCATGGAAGACAGACGATGTTGTTGGATCCCCTGGGACTGGAGTTACAGACAGTTGTTGGCTGCCATGTGGGTGCTGGGATTCAAACCTGGGTCCTCTGCAAGAACAGTCAGTGTTCTTAACCGCTGAGCCATCTCTCCAGCCCCTATTTTTTAAATTTTATATGTATGAGTGTATTGCCTACATGTGTGTTAAGTGCACTTATGTCATGCAATGCCTGGGGAGGTCAGAAGAGGGTGTCACATCCCCTGGAACTGGAGTTGCGGATGGTTGCTGGCCTCCAAGTGGGTGCTGGGAATCAAACCCAGGTCCTCTGCTGAGCCTTCCCTCCAGCCCAGTGGTATTTCTTTCTAATGACTAATTTAAGAGGCTTAGTTTAGTCTTAGTTGAATGAATTGGCTTGACTCAATAAACAAAGATTTGGGGGGGGCAGTCTTTGAGGCAGGGTCTCCTGTAGCCCCAACTGACCTGGAACTCACTATATAGACCAGGCTGGGCTTGAACTCACAGAGATCTGCCTGCCTCTGTTTCTTGAGTGCTGGGATGTGCCACCATGTCTGGCCTTAAACTGGAATTTAAGTAAATTTTTTATATTTGTGCTGTTTTGCTAAGCTGTCTAGATGAGAAGTAGCACTTGAGAATAGTTGTTATGGTTAATTCGTAATTGTTCTTAGGTCAGGAAGTTGGGCATGACAGTTATGATAGGGTGATTGCTATTGCTTTTCTAAATCTGTAGGCATTTATCTGTTGACTGTATTTTTGGATACTGGGGTTGTGCCTAGCTTTACTCATGCTAGGCAAGAGCTCCACCACTGAGCTATATCCCTAGTGCTTTTGTTACTTTATTTTTTTGAAATAGGACCTCACAAAGTTGCCCGGGCTGGCCTTATTGCATAAATTTATAATGCACTATAAATTTATAGTTGTTTATCCTTATTAAAACCACATAATAATTCGGAATTATCCCCAATTTATAGTTTAAGAAACTGGTTTAAAGAGGTTTAATCATGGAACTTAAATGTAAGCAAATATAGTATGATCAGTAAACACACAGTTGCCTCTGTCTTAATGCAGTTTGTACAAAAGGTAAACTCAAAGGGCATAAATGACATGCCTGGGCAATAATATAAAATTATTAAAAATTTTTTATATTTTAATTTTTATGTGTATGAGTATTGTCTGCATGTATGTAAGAGCACCTATGTCATGCAATACCTTCAGAGGTCAGAAGAAAGCATTGAATTCTCTTGGGACTGGAGTTATGTATGGTTGTTAGCTGGCATGTGGGTACTGGGAATGGAACCAGGGTCCTGCAAGAGCAGTCAGTGCTGAGCCATCTCCAGCCTCCTAAAGCACTATAGGAAAAAAATATTGCCAGGTGTGGTGGTGCACACCTTAATCCCAGTATTTGGGAGGCAGAGGCAGGTGGATCTCTGTGAGTTCAAGGCCAGCCTTGTCTACAAAGTGAGTTCCAGGCCAGCTGGGGCTACAGGGAAACCCTGTCTCAAAAAAAAGACAAAAGAATTTTAATTTAGGGAGACTCAGTTTTCTCTAGGGACTAGCACCCTGAGAGGTTTATCTAATTCCAATAGGCGACTCCAAACACAGGTACACATGTGTCCCACTAAATGGACTTAGTGCATTTTATATATATATATTTTATATGTATATATATATTTATAAATGTATATATGTACGTATATGTAACAGTAAAGAAGAGAACAAGAGATTGAGGAAGGGGGGCATAGGAGGAGTTGGGGGTGCTGAGAGGGCTAGAAATAATGCAAATATAGTACTCATGTTAGAAATTCTCAAAGTAACAGAAAACTAATTTTTAAGTTTTCTCATGATTATATATGTTGATTATAGTCCCCTCATTCCCTCCTACCCTACTTTCTAAAATCCTTTCTAATACATTTTATAATTTACTATTGAAGAGTAATTGCCAGGCGTGGTGGCACATGCCTTTAATCCCAGTATAGGAGGATAAACAATGTTCAGGGCTGGCCTGGGCTACAGAATGAATTCCAGGTTAGCCTGGACTAGTCCAAGACCCTGCAGAAAGCAGGAGGCAGGTGAAAGAGAAGAAGAGGGAAGAGGGAGAGGGAAGAGGGAGAGGGAGGGGAAGAGGAGCAGAGTGTTGGCAAAGTAACCAGATGCACTGAATCATTCTGCCAAGAAGTTACCTGCCCTCCACAATGATCTAGGTAAAGAAACAAAGCAGCATCAGAAGCTAGTGCTTTTGATCCCAGCACACTGGAGGAAGAGGCAGGTGGATCTCTGTAGGATTTAGGCCAGCCTAGTCTACAGAGTTCCAGGCCAGCTGGGGCTACAGGGAAACCCTGTCTCAAAAAAAAGACAAAAGAATTTTAATTTAGGGAGACTCAGTTTTCTCTAGGGACTAGCACCCTGAGAGGTTTATCTAATTCCAATAGGCGACTCCAAACACAGGTACACATGTGTCCCACTAAATGGACTTAGTGCATTTTATATATATATATTTTATATGTATATATATATTTATAAATGTATATATGTACGTATATGTAACAGTAAAGAAGAGAACAAGAGATTGAGGAAGGGGGGCATAGGAGGAGTTGGGGGTGCTGAGAGGGCTAGAAATAATGCAAATATAGTACTCATGTTAGAAATTCTCAAAGTAACAGAAAACTAATTTTTAAGTTTTCTCATGATTATATATGTTGATTATAGTCCCCTCATTCCCTCCTACCCTACTTTCTAAAATCCTTTCTAATACATTTTATAATTTACTATTGAAGAGTAATTGCCAGGCGTGGTGGCACATGCCTTTAATCCCAGTACTCAGGAGGCAGAAGCAGGTGAATCTCTTGAGTTCAAGGCCAGCCTGGTCTACATAGTGAGTTCTAGGCTAGCCAGGGCTACATAGTGAGACCCTGTCTCAAAAGAAAAAAAAAAGGTAAGAATAAAGCCAGGTGTGGTGGCGCACGCCTGTAGTCCCAACACTTGGGAGGCAGAGGCAGGTGGATCTCTGTGAGTTCAAGGCCAGCCTGGTCTACATAGTGAGTTCCAGGACAGCTGGGGCTACAGGGAGACCTTGCTTCAAAAAGACAAGGGGAAAAAAAAAAGGTAAGAATAATTACTGGTAACCTTTAATTTTAATTTTTTTTTTAAAAGAAACCACATACTATAAAATAATCATCAGTTTCTACATTTCTGTTTTTGTAATGAACACAATAGGACAGAAATATGAATGTGCCAAGAGATGGAATGTACATTGTGTGACCCTGCAGTGGTTTCATGACAGTGTTAAGAAAGGTTTTTGTCAGGATGAGGCTATATACAAGGCACAACCAAGAACAGAAAAGAAGACTGCGCCTGATACTTCAACACCTACTGGTCAGAACATAGCTGGAAGTAAGTCTCATTGACATTAAACTACGTCATTTTCCCATAAAATAATTGATATATTGGGCTGGGTATTTAGCTCATCTGGAAAGCTTGTGTGTTCTGAATGCAAGGCCCTGAGTTTAATCCTTAGCACTGATGAAAAAAAGTAAAAGAGTTGATTTGTTAATAGGATTACTGAACTTTATTAGGAGGGGTTATGTTTTTCCCCTATGCCTCTAGGTTTATAAAGGCCAGTTATGTGAAAGGCCAGTCTGGAACTTCTCGTTTGTTCCTTTTAGAATGAGTAATTGCTTTATATATCCTTTCCATGTAATGCAAGAGGGACCACAGAGGTATTAAGAAAACTAGTACATAGACCTAAGAGAACTTTTTAAAAATTTATTATTGTGTGTGTGTATGATGTGTGTAGGTGGACATGTCCTGTCCACAGCACTCATGTAGAGGTCAAAGGACAACTTTGTGGAGTTGGTTCTCTCCACCTTTACATATTCATGTAAAGGTAAAGGTGTACAATACCCACGGAGTCCAGAAAAGGGTGTTGGATCCCCTGGAACTGAAGTTAAGGGAGGGCGGGGTTAGCCACCAAATGAGTACTGGAATGGAACCTAGGTCCTCTTTGACTCAGGACAGGCTTGACAGACCATCTCGCCATAATTTATTTTTTTATTATTTTTATGTGTATGAGTGTATTGCCTGCATATATGTGAGCACACCTGTATTGTGCAATGCCGTGGAGGTCAGAAGAGGGTTTCAGATTCCCCTGGAACTAGAGTTAAGGATGGTTTGTATCTGCCATGTGGGTGCTGGGAATCGAACCTGGGTCCTCTGTAAGAGCAGTCAGTGCTCTTAACCCCTGAGCCCTCTCTCCAGCTCCCCAAGAAATAATTTTTATAATTTTGCTGACACACATACTGTTTTCTTTATTGATTTATTGTGCTTGTTATAGATCATTATATAAATTAATATTTTTATTTTTGGGTTAGGCATGATGACTCATTTCTGTTTTCTTAGCACTTGGGAGACTAAGGCAGGAGGAGTGTCATCTAGGCCAGTTTGGCTTATAGGGTCAGACCCTGTCACAAAAACAAAGAGCAAACAAAAAAGTTAACTTTTTTCCTTTGTGGTAACTGCTTTATTATTATATTAAGATGATGTATTTACATAAGTCTGCTTTTTAGCTCTATCCTATTCCATGGTTCTATCTGACTGTCCTTGTGGTATTGTGTAAAAAATATTTTTTGTTACAAAAGTTTTTTTTGAGACAGGGTCTCCCTGTAGCCCCAGCTGTCCTGGAACTCACTATGTAGACCAGGCTGGCCTTGAACTCACAAAGATCCACCTGCCTCTGCTTCCCAAGTGCTGGGATTAAAGGTATATGCCACCATGCCCGGCTGTTGCCAAAGTTTTATAATATGTCTTAAAACAAGAAGGGCTAGGGATGGCTCAGTTGTTAGAGTGTTTGCTGAGCGTGCATGAAGACTTGAATTTAATCCCTGGCACTGCATTAAAAATTGGGTGTGGTGGTGCCTAATCCTAGAACTTTGGAGGTTCAGGATCAGGAGGATCAGGGCTTTCATTGGTTACAGAACAAGTCAAGATTAGCTTGGGCTATATAAGACCTTGCCTCAGAAAACCAAACAAAACAAAAAAGACTGATGGTTGAGCGGGTAAAGTGCTTGCCATGCAAGCCTGATGACCTGAGTTTGATCCCTAAAACCCGTGAAGAAAATGGAAGGAGAGAGCTGACTCCACAGAGTTCTTGACCTCTGCATATGTGCTGTGGCAGGTATGCACCTACATCTTTTTGATGTGTCAGCTAGATTAACTAGTCAGCCAATACTAATCTCTTAAAATAGTTTTTATTTTTTAAGTGCCATTTAGCAAAGTTTTACTATCATTTTTTTTCTGAATATAAACTTCTTGGAGCTTAAGGCCAGCAACTATATCTTCTTTTGAAAAGTAAGCCACTTTGAAGAAATACATTAAATATATTTTTACTTCAATAATAAAGGAGACTTGATTTTATTTTTCCTTTTCATACTTTGCCAACAAGATTTCAGTTAAAAAAAAAAAAACTTTGAATGTTTGTTGTTTGTTCATACCCCTGTGACTAGGAAAATATAATTTTTACAAATTTTTATGTGTTTCGCCTGTGTGTATGTAAGTGCATCCATGTTGTGCAATGCTCACAGAGTCTAGAAGAGGGCATTAGATCCCCCTGGAACTGGAGTTAGGGTTGGTTATTAGCTGTGTTGTGGGTTCTGGGAATTTCACCCAGGTCCTCTACAAGAGCAGCCAGGGCTCTTAACCGCTGAACCATCTCTCCAGCCCCTGGAAAAGTTAGTTTATAAAGAGATATGTAATCATTATTATTTTACTTCATGAGTTTTTACGTTTCTTTTAAATATGTAGGTCGTAGTCTTTCAGATGTCAGCCATATATCCAACATAAATGGAAGCTGTGTAAATGAAACGATGTTCAGTTCAGCTAATAGCAAACTTGAGTGTACACTTGAAAACCTAGAAAACCTGGATGTCAGTGCTTTTCAGGCACCTGAAGATCTACTAGATGGTTGTCGGGTACGTCTTTATTATGTAATGAATTCAGTAAGTGATAATAAATGTTCTTTGGACTGTGAGTTTAAGGCCAGCTTGGTCTACAGAGTGAGGGCCAGTCTGACAGACTCAGCCTTAGCCTGGTTTTGAAGACCGCTCATAGTTGGACTTGTTCCTTGTCTACAGAAACTCCACTAAATTAAGAAGTTGTACCGGTCATATGTATACTATGGCTGTGTCTTTCTGCCTGGGATGTAGTGTCATCTGTTAATCTTTTAAAGTTCATTTTGCTTTTCAACTCTGAAATCTCAATAGTTGAGGTTTGTTGTTTTTGGTCTTTTTGAGACAGGGTCTCCCTGTACCCCCAGCCAGCCTGGAACACAGCTAGCCTGTGTAGACTAGGCTGACCTTGGTCTCCCATGTGCGGAGATCAAAGGCATGCACCACCACACCCAGTATTAACAGTTATGTTAATCCCTCTGTCTATTATGTTTTGAGAATACTTCATTTATAGCTGTCATTTATTATTTACAGTACATTAACACTGCTAATCATTTCCTGTTACATTGTGTTTAAAATATTTAATTCCCACAGATAACTAAAAGATATATTATCTTGTGGGCAGTACTTACAGGACTAAAATCCTTACTCAGGGCCAAGTGGATAAAGGTGCTTGCTACCAAACCTTACACACTGAGTTCAGTCCTGGAATTCACATGATGGAAGGAGAGAACTGACTCTCAGAAGTTGTCCTCTGACTGCCACATGTGTACTATGACAAGCATGCTCCCACGCATATACATAAACACAAAGTGAATAAATGAGTGTAGTTGTAAAATATAATGAAATCCTTGTTCAAAGTCAGACAGACATTACTCTCGCCTCAAAGTCTGCCTTAATCATGTGCAAGGCCTTGGGGTCAATCCTCAGCAATATTAAAAAAAAAATTTAGTAGGATCATTGCTTTGTTCAGTAGCTCTTGGGTTGTTTGATATTTTTGGTGTGTTAATATAAGATTCTTGATGGAAACATCATCTGTTGTGCTTTATCATATCTCCCAGATCTGCATACGTACTTCATAGATGCCTATTTATACAATGACTAGGCTCTACATTACTTCTCAGAGCAGGAAATGTTTAATCCTGTTTTATATTTAAAGGTGAATTATTCATCTAAAATTTATCAACTTACTGGTGTAACAGAAAAGTGCTTTGTGTAAATTTTTATCCTAGAATGAACTAAGTCTAGATTTGGCTTTTATGTAGAAAGTGTATGAGTAAGGTGCTTGCTGTGCAAGTATGAGGATCTGAATCTGTATTCCCAGGGCTCACGCAAAGGCCATGTGCAGTGGTTGTGTGTAACCCCAGAACTGGGGGTAGAGAAAAAAGCAGATCTCAGGGCTTTGCTGGCCAGCAAGAATGTGCGTGAACTCTCACACACGTACATGAGTTTCAGAATTTATTTCATTCCTAACGTAGCCTAAAATGTACATAAATTGTCTTATTTACACATAGTGGATTTAAATTTCTTGTAAAGTTGTGATACATAAACTTCTTAAATATGGTAATCCAAAGCAAATGTTTTCTTTCTTTGCAGATATATCTTTGTGGTTTTAGTGGCAGAAAGCTAGATAAGCTAAGAAGGCTTATTAACAGTGGAGGTGGAGTTCGTTTTAATCAACTTAATGAAGATGTAACTCACGTTATTGTGGGAGATTATGAGGACGACGTGAAACAGTTTTGGAGTAAATCATCCTACAGGTTCTCAGAATTCAGAGCACTTTGTCCTGTGATGATTTTTGTTAAAGTTGCATATCTGTGCAGCTCTGGGGACTACATGGCAAGTGGGACAGTGGTCTTCATGGCTTAGACTAATATAACTATGCTCTTTTTGTAGGCCTCATGTAGTGGGAGCAAAATGGTTACTAGAGTGTTTTAGTAAAGGGTATATGCTTCCTGAAGAACCATATACACATGCCAACTACCAGCCAGTCGAAATTCCAGTTTCAAATCGGCCTGAAAACCAAACAGCCCTCTCAGAAAAGAACAGCAGTTTCTGTATGAAAGATTTTGCTCCTGATAAAAAGCTAGAGCAAACTGATGAAGATCTGCTCTCTCAATATGTAAATAATGATTCTGCAATAGGTAAGAAATCGTTGGTTAGTATCTGTGGTTGTAAGAAACAGTTTATTACCTAGATATATAGATGCATGGTACCTGCCAGTTCTCTAGATTTTATGTTCTATTCATTCTTTTATTCCCTTTAAGTTGGTAACCTTTTTGTGATTAGGCATGGCCATTAGGTTCTGAACCCTTTAATCTCTCTTTCTCACTGACTCCGTGCTTGGTTGCTGTATGAACATTTTCTTTATGTGAGTGAGTGTCTTGCCTGCACACATGTAAGTGCACCACATATGTGTAATACCCAAAGAGTACAGGTGCCAGGTCCCCTGGAACTGGAGCTTAGGATGGTTGTTAGCTGTCATGTGGGCTCTGGGAACCAACCCCAGGTCCTCTGCAATAGCAGCAAGTATTCTTAACTCCTGAGCCATCTCTCTAGCCCCCAAACTTTATTATTATTATTGTATAATTTTGTGTTGTTATTGTATATGTGTGTGTATGTGCTCAAATCCTGGCACCCATGTAAAACTGGGTGTGGCCATGTGCTCACCTGTAACACTTGTCCCATAGTGGGTGGAAATGGGAAAATTGCTTGGGTTTGCTAGCTCCAGGTTCAGTGAGAGACCTTGTCTTGAATAAATCAGGGAGTGACAGCAGAAAACCTGCATCCTCCTCTGGCCTCTGCACATAGGCACACACTCCCACTGAGAACATATGCATATGCACTACACTCACACATAAGTCTCTGTCACCCCCACCTCCCAGAGTTACCCTATACATCTTTCAGAAATCTTAACTTGTGCTTTTCTCCATTCTTCAATCCTCCTGGAATTAGTTTTTATATTTCTTATAGAATGCTGTAATTTTAATTTTGTTTGTGTGGCTAATCAGTTTTCCAAGACTTCTTACTGATAGTTCATTCTTTGTTCACTGATTCATATTTTCATATAGTTAAATGTTATGTAAGGATGTGTGTCTAGACTTTGTTTTGTTCCATTTAGATACTGCATTGAGAATCTTAATAGATTTGTAATATAGATGAAAGTTCCTTCACTGTTTTTGACTTTTTTTCTGTGCCATCTCTCCCCACCTCCATTAGATTGTCTGTGTCAAGCAATCTGGGAATTTGATTAGTTATTTTAAATTTGTAATTTGGAAGAGAACTCACATTTTACAACAAAATATTTCTTATGTGCAAATACAGGATATCAGCATATATATAGCTTTACCTTTAAAATACCTTCTAGTAAAGAGCATTTTTTTTTCTTTTTTTTTTTGCAGCAGGGTCGCCTGTAGCCCCAGGTGTTCTGGCCTTGAACTCACAGAGATCCACCTGCCTCTGCCTTCCCAGTGCTGGGATTAAAGGCATGTACTGGAATATTGATTGCTCTTAACCTTAATGTGAAACTTTCCTCTGGCTTGCTTTGGGTTTTGAATTTTTAAAATTTGTCCCATGCCAGGAGTTCCGTGGTTTTGATTTTAATGTTTAAATCTTTGACCTGGGTGTTGAGTAATAATGTCCTATACTGCTAGAATGATTTTGCGATTTTTTTTTCACCTTTAATTTGTTAAATTATTAATAGATTTTTATGTTGTAAAGTCAACTTTAAGTTCTTCGAGATATGTTAAAAAATTTGGTTCATTTGCTGTAATATTAGCCTATAATTTTATGTTGTCATTTTGATTTTTTTAATTTGTAAAAATGGATGTACCTGAGCCTGATTAAAAAATAATAAAATTTTGGGGGCTGGAGAGATGGCTCAGCAGTTAAAAGCACTGACTGCTCTTGCAGAGGACCCAGGTTGGAGTCCCAGCATCCACATGACAGCTACGAACTGTCCTTAACTCCAGTTCCAGGGGAATCTGAAGCCCTCTTCTGACCTCCACGGCATTGTACAACACGGATGCACTCACATACATGCAGGCAATACACTCATACACATAAAAATCATAAATATTTTTTAAAAAAATAATAAATTTAAAAAAAAAACATAATTATGTAATTGTGGGAAGCAGTGATTTTTAATATTTTCCTACCATTATTCCTCAGCATGTAGTATCAAATTAGTGTATCTTTGAATTATATTATGTTAGGATGTTGTAAGGCAAGAGTAAGCCAAACCCTAAATCAGTAGATAGAAAAAATGAAGATCAGAGCAGAAAATAATGAACTAGAAACAACAACAAACAAAAAGAGTCAATGAAAACAAAGAGTTGGGTTTTAAAATTTTTTCTTAATACAGAGTCTCTTGTAGCCCATCTGACCTTACAGTTACTGTGCAGACAAGGATAGCATTGAACTCTTGATCCTCTTGCCGCCATTTCACATATGCTAGGATTATAGGCATGACTGCCATGCCCAGTTTATGTAATACTGAGAGTCCAACCCAGTATCACTGTAGACAAGCAGTCTGTCCACTGAGCTACATGCCCAGCCCCCAGCTCAAGAGTTGGTGCTTTGGAAAGTTAAGTAGGATTGGCAAATGCTTAGTGAAACTCATCAGTTATACCACTTAATCCTGTTCATTCTGTTTCCCCTTAGAGTTTTTTTCAATTCTATTTTGAAAGTAAGACAAGCCTATTGGGCCATTATAAATTTCAGCTAATTCGTTGTCTGGCACATTATTTGCTTAGAACTGACATGATAGCTGTTGACTTTCTTAATTAAGGGTGGTGATTCTTATAACATTCTTGGTGTGAATAGAGCCAGAATCCAGATTCCTCTTTCGTTGTGTACATTTATTTAGCCTTAGGGTTTATTTTTTATGAGTGTTTGCCCGCATGTATGTGTGCCGTGCGGGTGCCCAGTGCCTGTGGAAGCCAGGACAGGGCATTGGATTTCCTAGAACTAGAGTTAAAGATGAGTGTAAGCTGACATGTGGGTGCTGGAAACCAAACCTGGGTCTTCTGCAAGAGTAGCCAGTGTTCTTAACTGCTGAGCCATCTCTCCAGCCTCCCTAAGTCTTTGTTTTTAAGTATTAAAATGATTAGGTTCCAGCCAGGTGTGGTGGCTCATGCCTGTGGTCCCAGCACTTGGGAGGCAGAGGCAGGCAGATCTCTGCGAGTTCCAGGCCAGCCTGGTCTACATAGTGAGTTCCAGGCCAGGTAGGGCTACAGGAAGACCCTGTTTCAAAAAGACCCCCCAAAAAGATTAGATTCCATGTTACACTAATGTCTTTGCTAGGAAATAAACGCTTAAGTCTAGCATAGTATCTATTAGAAAACATATATTTTTCTTTTCCAGTTGGAGCTGAGACGTCTGAAGCTGCAGAGCCTCATGCTGGGCCTTGCAATGGTTCTACTCCTGTTGAGCCCTGTAATGATACTACTTATATTTCTCTGCAAGGGGAAAACCAGTCTTCTGTCAGTCATTACCTCCTTGATTCTGCAGCTACTGAACAAGGCTTATTTGGCCAAAAGAGTTTCCTTGTTTTGGGTTTTAGTGTTGAAAATGAATGTAATATTGTAGACATCATAAGAGAACATGCTGGAAAGATTGTATCCCTTCCCAGCAGAATTGTTGCTGATTATGCTGTGGTTCCATTGTTGGGATGTGAAGTAGAAGCCACCGTGGGAGAAGTTGTTACAAATACATGGCTGGTAAGAAAGCACATGACAATTAAAATACATTATTGAAGGATATTTGATTACTGGGAGTGAGTCTCTTGTTTATTTCATAGGCAGTTCAGTTTACCTAAATTAGCATTTGATTTGAGCATTGCCTAGACTTTGCTTTTAGCACCGGAAATTTTAAAACAGAAATGTGGGCCTGGCAAGATGGCTCAGCTGGTAAAAGTACTTGCCTTACAGGCCTGATGACCTGAGTTTGGTTCCTGGAACCCATGGTGGAGGGAGAGAACCAACTTTCCCCAAATTGTTGCCGTTTTTACGTCCACTTGCACACTATAGCACACATACATTCGTTCTCCCCCCCCCCCTTACACACACACACGCACACATCAAATTTTGTAAAAAATAGAATGAAACAAGCTTCTTGGTGGCGTGTAGGAGTTATTCTCCTAGGGCTACGGCAGCAATGCTCCTTACCTGAAGGTAGCTTGTTGGTCATCGCATCTCATTCTGCTTATTTTTCCTCCTGGCTAAAGTGTGATATATACCTTTTTTAACTTGAGAATGAAGAGAAAACATTAAAATATTGGAAGAAATGAAATTTAAAGCAAATTTCAGTTGCTATAGTAATATGTCTTAATGATTTTAATATCTGTAGTAAAGAATTGATGCGTATGTATTTATTTAAATATCATTTGAACCATTAAGGATGAGCATATTCAAATTAATTTGAATATGAATGTAATTTGAATGTAAACTTTTTTGTTTAAACTGAAATTGCTAGTGTTGTAACTTGAGCTAGTGTTAACCATTGGTTTCTTATTTTGATTGGCTTTGTTTTTCTTGTTTTCAAAGGTTACATGTCTAGACTATCAGACATTAGTTGATCCAAAGTCAAATCCTCTCTTCACACCAGTCCCGGTAGTGGCAAGAATGACTCCTCTAGAGGATTGTGTGATTTCACTCAGCCAATATGTTGGAGCGGAAAAAGAGTCCTTGGTATTCTTAGCAAATCACCTTGGAGCAAGGTATATAATACTCAGTTCTAGTGTACCTGCTGTGCTGTCATGGTGTACGTTGTACCTTTTTTTTGGCAGTGTGATGGATCAAACCCACAGAGCCTTGTGCACACTACACAAGTGCTCTACCACTGTCTCACCAACTCCACAGTGTATTTCTTTTATTTGATTCACTGGGAAGTAATGGAATCAAATTTGGACAGGTCGCTTTGTATTTTGAGTGGTAGGTAATGTATCTAATGGCTCAAGGCCTCTGAGAGAAGAAGCTATGAGATGGATTTCTGGCAATGATGTTTCATTGAAAAGGGACTATTCAGTGCCAGTATGTGAGCTGTTAACTGAAATGTGCTACAAAGAGCACATTTTAAAAAGAAGAAATTAAGCTGGGCGTGGTGGTGCACGCCTTTAATCCTGGCACTCGGGAGGCAGAGGCAGGTGGATCTCTGAGTTCAAGGCCAGCTGGGGCTACAGGGAGACCTTGTCTCAAAAAGATGAAAAAAAGAAAAGCTCTTTGGTTCTCGTTTTCAACCAAAAATGCAAATGGTAAGCAGGAGCAATAAATACTTTCAAAAGAAAGGAATTTACAAATTACCTGCAAAATCCTTTATTAGCTCAACCTCCCTAACTCATCATTACATGGTGGGCAATTAAAAACTAGCAGAAACCAGTTATCAGTAAATGTAAATTAACTAACTTCATATTAAAAGGGAAATACTTTTAGATTAGGAGCATAAAGCAGAACGCCACTATGCTTTCAAACAACATATTCAGAACATTCTAGGAGAAAAGGATAGTCAAAGATCTAAGAATAGAGACAAAAAATCATACAGAATTGAGTTCAAGTCAAACAGCGTTAAAAGAGACGAGAGTACTGTATGTAAAGAGTGCTAGTCACACTGAAGATAAAATGTGTATGTACCAACTAGATCATCAGTGTCATTCTTAAGAACAACAGGAGATACATGGGGAATTAAACGTTTGTAGGAGACTTGGGGCCGCAGACCAAGGAATGGTGGGTGACTCCTATGTTTAGGATATCTTCCCACTTCTTGTTAGCCCCATCTGAAACTCTGTCACAGACATGCCCAGGTATTTGTTTCCACGGTGATTCTAAAGCCCATTAAGTTGATATCAAGATTAGCCATTGCAAGTGTCAAATTGATCAGTATGTTAAATGTCAGAATGAACCAGTTGAACAGTCATAAAGGCAGGAACCTAGGACATATGACCTGGAAATCAGGAGAGACTGAATTCTGTTTAAATCTCAAGTGTTGGGTATGTTTCTGTCCCATCATCTCTGTTTAATCCCCTTTGATCTTGAGCAAAGTCGCTTAGTTTCTCTCTTTTCCTCATGCCTGTAAAATAGTGATATTTCATAAAAACATATCAGTGAGACTATATGTAAAAATACTGTGGTTCTTATAGTGAGTAAAAAGATAATGCTATTCATATACTTTAGTTGTTCCATGTCTCCTTTTGATAGGAAAGGACAGGTTGGTGTGGTAACTAATTGAAGGAGGTATTTTTTTTTCTATTTCCTTAAAAACTTAATTTACTTATGTTTTTATGAAAAAATTGAATTGTCATGGCAGCACATTTTTATCCTAGAATAAACATTTGTAAAGGGATTAGCTTAATTTAAGATAGACTCTACTAGGGTTGGAGAGATGGCTTGGCAATTAAGAGCTCTTGGCGAGGACTGAGTTTGGTTCCCAATACCCACATCGGGTGGCTAACAACTGCCTATAACTCCAGCTCCAGGGGATCCAATGTCCTATTCTGACCTCTACAGGTACCCATGGGTGTGCACTCACATAAACACAACATACACACAAAAAAAAAACCTATCTTTAAAAAAAAAAAAAAAAAAAAAACCAGACTGTACCAACCTTTAGTCAGCATATGTTTTCTTAAAGTTACATAACCACAGGCTGTTAAAGAATTAACTTCCTACAGTTTGCTAGCTAATTGTCTGATCATTCGCTTTTCTTTACATATAAATTATAGTGTTCAAGAATTCTTTGTTCGCAAATCCAATGCAAAGAAAGGCATGCTTGCCAGTACACATCTTATAGTGAAAGAACCACTTGGTTCTAAATATGAAGCTGCAAAGAAGTGGAATTTACCAGCAGTCACTATTGCATGGCTGTTAGAAAGTGCTAGAACGGGAAAGAGAGCAGATGAGAGCCACTTTCTGATCGACAGTGCACCTAAACAAGGTTAGAACTTTTATTCCTTTTGTGTATTTTACATTTGATGGTTTCTGGAGTATGAATGTCCCAGAACTTGATTTTAGAAAAGGTTGTTTAAGCCGGTTGTGGTGGCACACGCCTGTAGTCCCAGCACTTGGGAGGCAGAGGCCAGTGAATCTCTCCGAGTTCGAGGCCAGCCTGGTGAGTTCAGCTGGGACTACAAGGAGCCCCTGTCTCAAAAAGAACTAACTAACTAACTAACTAACTAACTAACTAACTAACATACACTCATACATATAAATAAAATAAATAAATAAATAAATAAATAAATAAAAAGATTGTTTATTTCTGCTGTTTAGGGTGGGTACTGTGAGCTTGTGCAGGGCCTTTGTTTTTGATGGCTGGGTGGATGTATACTCCCGATGCTTAGTGTGTGCCGTCTGTACTGTCTAAAAGCTAGTAAACTGACAATAGTAAGTGCACCCTCCAGGTTCTTAGTGTTGAAGTCAAAAGGTATGTGTTGATTCCTTCTGTGGCTCACACTAGCATAACCATGTAACTGATGTGCTTTTACAAGTCCTCCTCAATTGGGAAGCCTTCTTTGACTTTCCAATTATGACCTTTATCTTATCCTAGCATTTTGTTTTACGCCTTTGAGATTTGTCTTGTAGTGAAAAGGCTGGTTTGATTTCCTGTCTCTGCTAAACTGTAAGCTCTGTAAAGGCAAGAGCATGCAAGTCTTATGAATTGTATATTTTCATTGTCTAGCAGTGAGTCTAGCATGAAGTAGCCAAAAGTACTTTTGTTCAGTGTTGAGAAAAGGTAGAAGGAAGAAGTGGGAAGATAGAATGGCATCTGGGCTGACCACAGAGGCACATCAGCAGCCTGGAAACACGCAGAGCTGTTACTCAGACAGATTGGAGATGTATGACTGTTACAAAAGCACGTTTAGATAATAGGAAAATTTCACTAGATTTCCAAAAACTTGGCTGTGGTTCCTTCTGAACACATGGAATTGAATTTTTCTTTTATTCTGCCTTGGCTAGGTTGACATTAGTACAATTTAATTAGTACTTTTAATGTTGTTTATTATTTCTAGAAATTCAGTTGGTTGCTTTACATTTTCTGTAGGGCACAAGTACACTAGGGCTGTAGGAGAGTAATAGAGTAATGATGGAAATCCTCTTTGTGCCTGGGAATGGAAAAAGGTCCAACGTCAGGGCCTGGGTGTCCAGGACCATATGTGGAGTCAAGACCTTAGTTGGCCATCAAGGGAGGTTGGAAGTCCATTCTTGAGACTCAGTCTTCCCAAGACTAGAAACTGCAAATGACAGAAATTTCCCGTCCCCAGTTTAAGTCTAACACAGAGGCAAAGCCACTAACATGCCCAACTTGGGACCTCGGGGAGGGGATTCTGGGGGATGCAGCCATTTCACTCCACTTTTTGAAACAGGGTTTCTCCCTGAACCTGGAATTCACTGATAAGGTTAGACTGGCTGGCCATCCCTGTCTCTACATCCTCAGTGCTAGGGTCACAATTGAACCTCTGCATCCAGCTTTCATGTGGGTGCTAGGAATCTGATCTCAGGTCTTCATTTTGGCAAAGCAAGCACTTTACCACTGAGCCATCTCTCCAGCCTTAATACATCACCTGGTAGTAGCACTTGGTGTTACACATCTGTAATCCCAACACTTGTGAGGCTGAGACAGGAAGGTTGTGTACACACATATCTAACTTGTGGCTTATAGGCTACATTCACACCATGATAGCTATGAATGAGGCCCAACAGATAATCAAAAACTAACTTGAAATGAGGTATTTTTTTGTTTTGTTTTTAACTTGATTGTGGAGTAGTTGAGCATGAGCTGTTTAGATGGCAATATCAAAAGCCCGGACATACTTGGAGGATATTTGAGACCTATCTCAAAAAATAAGTGTATCATCTGATTTGCTTCTTGGAAAGCAGGAGAACTTTCTGGTATAAAGTGTACGGAGTCAGTACATGGAAACTGACAGGATATAAAGATAGCACTTTGCCTCAACAGAGAAAAGAAGCTGGTATTAGTGGCTCACATTTGTTTTTTCATTTTTAAATCTGTAGAACAAAGATTGGAAACTAAGATACCAAATGGAGTAAATCTAAATTCAGATTCTCTAGCATATCCTGTCTCACACGTGGGAAATCTCAGGAAAAGAGCTGTTACACCTTTGGACATGAACCGTTTTCAGAGTAAAGCTTTCCATGCTGTGATCTCACAGCACACCCAGAAGGCTTCAGACTCTCTAACAGGACAGCCACTTGAGAAGGAGCCCTCTTTACACCTGGACACACCATCGAAGTTTCTGTCTAAGGACAAACTTTTCAAGCCTTCCTTTGATGTGACGGTAAGATTTAGAGGAAATGGTACTAGTGTTACTGGCTTTATAGTTTAAAAAGTTAGAGCCCCAAAGTCTATATCACCTCCAAAGTTTTGTGGGTTTTTTTTTGTTTTGTTTTTTGTCTTTTTGAAGCAAGGTCTCCCTGTAGCCCCAGCTGTCCTGGAACTCACTATGTAGACTAGGCTGGCCTTGAACTCACAGAGATCTGCCTGCCTCTGCCTCCCAAGTGCTGGGACTACACGTATGTGTTACCATGCCTGGCTGCTTTGTTTTATTTTGTTTTAGATGGGTTCTCTATATATTCCCAGCCTCAGCTGGTGTGAACTCACTATGTCGACCAGACTGGCCTCGATCTCACAGAAATCTGCCTGCCTCTATCTCCCAAGTGCTGGGATTTTAAAGGTATACACTACTGCTCCTGGCTTACTTCCAGAATTTGTACTTGAAAGTTTCCCAGGAATTTTGGCTGGTAGGTTGATACTAATGTAATTGATATGCTCAAGGCTGAAGTGCAACTGTGGCTACATATAGTGTGAACTCAGGACCTCTGGGTTTGTCCTTGGTCGGTCATAAGCTAGATTCTAGGCAGAAAATTGAACCTCAGAGTATCACTTTCTCCTTTCAGACAAACAGGAAAAGAGTATTTCAAATGAAATACTTTGTTTTTTGTTTGTTTTGTTTGGTTTATTTTTATTTTGTTTTGACAGGGACTCCTGTAGTCCCAGCTGGCCTGGAGCTCAATCTGGAGATCAGGCTGGTCTGGATCTCATAGAGAGCCACCTGCCTCTTCCTCCTAAGTGTTGGAATTAAAGGCAAGTGCTAGCACACCTGACCCCTCAGATGATTTTTATTTCCCTACAGTGATTTCACCTGTCTTTAGGTGGCTTTTGTCCTTCTAAAAGTAGCGGTTGAAGCCATTACCGATGATTTCTTTTTTTCTTAATCTTAAATTATTATTCCATTTTACCTGTTGGTGTTTACCAATGGAATATTAAGAAGCATTTTAGCTAGTAATACAGCCTATAAGCCCAGTTACTTAAGAAGAGAATCCTAAATTCGAGGGCTTTCTAGATTACCAATGAGTTCCAGGCCTGGGCCTGCCTTGAACAACAACAACAGAAATTTTTTAAAGGGTTGTGGATGTAGATCAGTAATAGAACACTTGCCTGGCCTGTACAAAGGTCCCTAGATTCACTCTCCAGTACCAGAAAAGAAAAGAAAAAAAAGAATATTAAAAAAAAAAAAGAACTATCATTTTTATTACTATGCTTTGGGGCAGGTTCTTCATCTTCAGAAAATAGGTATTAATTGATACCCAGGACAGTTTTCTTCAGGCTAGAGATCTTGAATTTTAGCAATTCTAGTGGTCTCAAAACAAAACAAAACCATGAAAACCCCTTCTGAAGTGCCATGGTTAATGCTCCATGCCCTGAAACACCTGAACTTCTTTGGGCTTCTCTATTCCTATTGTGGGATCATGTGACAAACTCTCAAATCACGTAGATCATGGACCCTTTGAACAAACAGTAAATTAAATACTATTGCTAGCGAAAAAACGATTTCCAGTCATTCAGGACATTGCTTTATGGATACCTTGCTTTATATATAAGTTCTGAAATAATTTCAATATAAAAAAAAGCCACATTTAGCCAAGTGTGGTGGTTCACACTTTAAAAATCCCAGCATTTGGGAGGTAGAGGCAGGTGAATCTCTTGAGCTTGAGGCCAGCCTGGCCTGCATAGGAGTTCTAGGCCAGCCAGGGCTACAGAGTGAGACCCTGCCTCAAAAAAAAGGCCACATTTATGTATTTCGTTGTTTAGAGTCAGCGTATTTAGTAATGTTCCCCCCCACCATAGTGCATAAAATAAGATTTCTTAAAACTATTGAATTCCTTTTTTTTTTTTTGTCTTTTGTGGCAGGGTCTCCCTGTAGCCCCAGCTGTCCTGGAACTCACTATGTAGACCAGGCTGGCCTTGAACTCACAGAGATCCACCTGCTTCTGCCTCCCAAGTGCTGGGACTACAGGCTTGTACCATCACGCCCGGCTGAATTCTTTTTAAAAAATATTTTTAAAATATTCTGTGTATGAGTGTTTTGCCTGTATGCAAACATACTCATGTGCAGTGCCCACAGAAACCAGAAGAGGGCATTGAATCTCCTAGAACTTGAGTTTTGGACTTCATTAAATGCCCTGTGGGTCCTGGGAACGTAGCCCAGGTCCTCTGAAAGAGTAGCCAGTTCTTTTAACTGCTGAGCCATTTCTCCAGCCTCAAATTATTGAATTCTTTACTCAGAACATAGAAGAACCCATGGCATGACCACAAAATTAACCACCTATTAGACCTTACGAAGAAAGCAAAATAGAAAATCAACCTCATTTAAATTTAAGGTGGGGTTTTTTGTTGTTGTTTTGGTTTTTTTGGTCTTTTTGAGACTCCTTGTAGCCCCAGCTGACCTGGAACTCACTCTGTAGAGCAGGCTGGCCTTGAACTGACAGAAATTTTCCTGCCTCTGCCTTCCAGTGCTGAGACCAAAGGCATGAGTTGACATATGTTAGAAAAAAGAAAAAAACTAGCTGGGCTTGATGGCACATACTTGTAATCCTGCTATAGAGTGAGACCCTGGCTCAGAAAACAAAGAAAGAAATGGACTGCTAAGTGAAATGACACTATGTTAACTGATGGAAGGCCACTGTATGTGTTCACATAGGGTAGGGCTGGTACTGTAGAGCTTCCTTCCTATTTCATAGAAGTGACACCCCCCCACCACACCCCTAGACTTCTCACAGTATTGTTGTGTTATGCTTGTTTCAGGTTGGTTTGTTTTTATGTGTATGAGTGTTTTTCCTGCATGTATATGTGTGTACCCTGTGCATGCCTGGTGCCTGTGGAGGCCAGAAAAAGGCTTCAGCTCTCTTGAAACCAGAATTACAGACAGTTATTATCCACCAGATGGATGCTGGAAACCAAACCTAGGTCCTCTGCAAGAGCAGCCACTGCTCTTAACCACAGAGCCATCTCTCCAGCTCCATGGTTTTGGCTTGCTTTTCTTGTAAATGGGTGGCATAATACCTATGTGTTGCATCGATTTTGGATTTCCTTAGCCTCCATTAAGGAGATTTGTCCATATTCTATATAACTAGTTAATTCAATTATAAGATGATATTTCCTCATCAGAGGTATGATGTTGATATATATATTTTTTTAATTATTTAAATCTTTTATATCCTGTTTCTTTGTTTTTACTTATACTAAGTGATATATTGTGATTCTTTTTCTTATGAAATCTCACATGCTTTTAGTTTATATAGGTAGTTGTCAGTTGGTACGTGGATATACATACTTTACGTTAGTCAAAATGTAGAATGTGGCTTTCAACATTATAAACTGTCCTTGTCTCTTTTAATGCTTTTTGGCTTGCAGACTGTCTACTTTGCTACTAGGATTTCAATCCCTGTTCTTATTTTATCTCAGTTCTGACATACATTCATTAATTTACAATTGTGTTACACATTTATATTGTGTGTTTACTTGGTGTCCCCTTTTCTTTGTACTTGGTATAGATCCCCCCCTTTTTTTAAAAAAAATAAGAGTTATACTGTGTAGCCCTGGCTGGCCTGGTACTAACCTGTGTTGAACAAGCTAGCCCAGAAGAGTGGGTACCCCCTCCATTTATGACTGTGCTGGAAAGTCCACACTCAAATATAGATCCTGTGACTTCCCAACAGCCACACAAAATGGTGGGAGAGGTGTCTCATGGTGTTCTCAGCTTATATAGTCTTAGCCCCTCTCCCACATGCAGCTAAGTTTGACTGATTGGGTGGGAGGGGTAACTGACACACACACACACACACACACACACACACACACACACATCCCTCGACAAGCATGGGAAGGAGGTGTGACTATAACTGTCCGTCATAGTGGTTGGAGGACACTTCGAGGTAACACTCCACCCCTTCCTCTGGCTCTTATATTCTTTCCACCAACCTCTTCCACAAAAGTCCCTGAGCCTTGGAGGGGGTGATAGGTGTGGGATGATCTTCCTTCCATTGTGGCAAGGCACTAAACTTTCAGGTCTCAGCATCATATATTTTCCATGGGCTGTTGGCCCATTTCAGTGAGAATTTCATATACTATAAAAACACAAACAGCAAGAAACAAGACCATCTAAACAGTGGCTGCTATAATAACCTATGGATGTAAACACAAGTGCTTGGCTGGCACTTTAGCAGGTGCATCATATCTGTCTTAACAAAACATTACAGTGACTTCCCCACTGGGGCCTATATCCTCGCCTGCCACAGGGGGTTGGGCTGGTCTATAGTGCCAGATGTGTGTTCTACCTCTAGGAACAAGGTATAGGAGACAGTTCTCCCCCAGGCACCTACATATTACCTTCTGATATTATGGAAGCCACCTATCCAGTGGCAGGGAGTTTCTAGCTTTCTCCAAGCTTGATTTCTTCCTCTCATGCTCATATCATGCAATGTCTTCAGCAATAGAGTTTTACCATCCACTTCTGGTATACAACCAACATTATTGGTGATGACCTTTATTATTTGGGGGACCTCTAGGGCCCCTCTGGCCAACAGCTCATAGAGGGGCAACCCATCTCTGGCACTGGTATTTTCATTTAACAACCATAGGGCTTTCTTCCATCCCCATAGGGTTCCTTCTGTGCCTAAGGCTTTTTTTTTTTTCACTGTGTATGCAGAGAATTTTTTCCCCTTTATTCCCATAGTTCTTTGTATAGTTGTGCCCCCCCCTTTAACTACCCCCTTTTTACATATTTCTCCCTTAGTAACACCTTTCTCCTACTATTCTCTTGGGTTCCTCCTTTCCCTTCACCTTCCTGGTTCCCTTCCATGTTCCTGCTCAGGATATGTACTCACTTGTAAGGATTTGGTGCTAGATCCATCCATTTACCTGCAAATTTTATTATTTCATCTTTACCGTTGAGTAGTATTCCATTGTATAAATGTACCACATTTTTGTTAAACCAGT